ATTCCTTTTTATATTTGATTTTATCCTTCATGACTTCACTCCATTATTAGCTGACATGAATTACTGAATTTATAACATAAATACTTTACAAATGACAAAAAATGATCCTTGTTACTTCCTATATGTATATTGCTTGTTGTTTATCATCCCAGTTTCACAACAAGCAGAAATAATTTTATGTATTAAATATACAGTGATCTGATTTACTACATTTACTCTTGAAAACCATATATTATTTTTGAAAAAAATTATTCCAAGTCCAGAAACCTTTCTGACTGAATCAATGACATATCTTAATCATATCTAGCACACTTAGTAAATAATATTTTCTTCAACAGTATGCATATTCAAGTATTTTTCATGTCTTTTTGTATTGGCACCTGTACTGTCTTGATTTTGTGAAAAAGAATGATCCAATGTTTGCTTCACTGTGCTCTTATTTCAAGACCTAATTCTTTTCATTGCCTTAACCTGGTTCTTTTGACACGTGTATGTATATTGAAGCTCCAAGGTGTTGGCATTTTGAGGTCATAAAGAGTTCAGGATGTAACAGCTTCCTTTACATTTTGTCATCTACTGAACCAGTCGTTATGACCTGTTACTCCTACCATATTCTGAAGTTTAAATGTTATTTTGTGGTCTCTGTCAATGTAAATGTAAGTAAAGTATAATTTGGAGATGCTCAACAGAAATATATTTAACTATTTTGTGAGTAGTTATTTTACTCCATTTTAAATTTTTTTTTCTTTTTTACTTTTCACATAGTTGATAATTCAGTAATTGTACTGCAATGAGCAGTCAGTATTATGAGATAAGTGACAGTTATTCAGTTGTATTTCATTATCAAAATAATGTTTCCTGTATCTCCTTCTGGGTCATTTGTTTTAATCATTTTTTTGTTTTTATATTGTTCAAAATGCTTCTAATAAATCTTCAATAGGGAGACAGATGTTTTTTGCTTTCTCTTGGAACCATTATAGCCTTTTTCCAGCATTGGCTTTTGATTGTTAGCAGTGTCGCTTTAACAGCACGCTGTGCTGGTAGAGTTCAGTGCATCACTGAACCTGTCTTGATGTGGAAGCACATTAAACAGATGTGGTAATATGCATGTTGGAATCATAGTTCAGATGGCCATTTTTCCTTTGATAGTGTTCTTATACACCATAAATTGATTATATGCTTAACATATTCTAGTTTTTTAATATGTAAGTATACTGCCTAGCTATGCATCAGTGTAAGACCTCTATTAGGAATGATGATCAACTGGTCTGTATGTTTTTATGTTTTTGTTTTGGGGTTGTTTTTGTGTTTTTTTGTTTTTTTGTTTTTTTTGAGGGGGGCATCCCCACGTCAGACTAATCATCCTGTGTGTGTAGCAATATTTAGCAAAGATCTGCATGTGTCAGCAGCTCATGAAATGTGCAGGTTTTTAGTTTATTTTATCCCACTGGCTAATGCAGGATAGTCAGTACAAGAATTTAACAAAGAAGCTCATACAACTACAGAGCTACTTTCCAGATGAGACCTCAGCTCCATCTGAGGTATTTTCTTCCTCTTATATATAGAATTCAATGGAAACTTACAGTTTCCATATGGAAAGTTAATCCAGGGTTATTTACATACTAATACTGACCCAGAATAAAAATCCATCAAGTATCATGTATAACGATAGCAAGAATTCAGTTATAATCTTTTTAGCCAACTGCTACTTCAGGACTTTTGCCAGTCTGCTCATATGGGGCTTCCTGAATCATGCTTACTGTCTCTTAATTGCCCATTTACTCTTTTGTCTTCTTCCATTAATACAGGATCATCACAGAATGGATTCATGCTTTTTTTCCAACTTGCTCCAATTTGTAATGATCTTGCTGCCTGTTTGCAACCACTTAACATCCTACTGGCATGCACTTTCTTGTTGCATTAATGCATGAGAAAGTTATTGCATTTAATTAGCCATTAATGAATGCAAATCAGCAGTTATGAAATGCAAAAAAAATTAAAGAAGGCTCCAAAGATTAAATTGTTTGGGGAAATCTATATATATGGCCAGTATAAATTAAAATAATAGAGGGTAATTTTTTAATGGAAAATTTGTGATGACGAAGGAAACCTACAAAGCTACATGACTTCTGTTGATTGGAAGGAAAAGATAGATCATATGTGAAAGTATGGGAAAATATTATTTACTATCTAAGTCAACAAAATACTGAGCAGGAGCTGGTTCACCCTTATTCTAGATGTTGTACAACAGTCTTAGTGGTTCTCTGTCAGTTGCTCTTTCCTGACAGTAAACACTTACTGTACTGTTGCTTCTTCCAGAGGCCCATTTATGGTACCTGAGACCCACACTATCATTGCACATTTTTCCTCCTATCTCATTAGACCTATGAGTCCCTCATTTACAATATATTTTTTTTTTTTTCAGGAAATAAGAAAATAAGATAAAAGGAAGCATAAGACATAGAAACTTAAAAAAAAAAAAAAAAAAAAAAGTTCTTTTTTTGTAAATTTAAATTGTTGAGAATTGGAAAAACCTGGAATCTGTGTCCTTAACTTAGAGTTTAGATAATACTACCCTTAAGAGTCCTTAACGACTGCATATGCTCATTGAAAGGCACATTTCCTCATCATCTCATGAGGATCCTATGATTACATTGGAATGGCAAATTTCATTAAAATAAATGGGTAAAAAAGGTCAAACTCCCTAATAAATAGTGCTTTTTAGATTGTACTTTAAAATTCTCTTATGAGAACCAAAAATAGTTATTGTAGTACTATTTGCTTAAAGAAAGTCTGAAATAGTAGCTCTCAGTGGAGTGAACAATTTAGTTCAGTTTCAACTGAATTTTAAAGCTTAAAACCCAGGTTTTGTCAGTTTCATCAGCTGCATTCCAGCAGCGGGCAATGAGAATAGAACAAAAAAATCAATAGTATGTAGGGGACATTCTGCTAACTTCCTCCTTCTCTGGGATGAAGGCAGTTAAAAAATAAAAATAAAATACAAAATAAAATGATCGTGTACACCTAAAACCTCCTCACCCTTTTGAGGAGTGATATCTCCCACATAATTTCTTTGTTTCTTCTGCAGAGAGGAAGCTTTTGAACATTATCCGTATGTGTTGATACCTAATGCACAAATTAACTGAATACGGCCATAATTAATTATTCTCTTTATCTCACTTCATATAAACTGTCTGTCCAGTACTTTTTATGGCTATGATATCCTGAAACATTTGCCTGCTTGAGTTTTTGAAACGTATCTAGTCATAATTTCTGTATTTTTACCTCAATGAATTATACTTCAAATCATTATTTTAAGATAGCTTCTGCTATTATCTCTTCTCCATTTTTCATCTCTTATCAACATCACTTGCCTGCTTAGCAGTCTGAGGCGGATACTTGTTTTTGACCTCATCTCCTCTTCCCAGGTTTTGGTGATCACCAAATCCCAAACTACTTTTGTTGCAGCTTTCTTAGAATTTTCTTCCTAATCCACATTCCAGAGAGTTGAAGTTGAATAGAATTAAGCCCTTAGCACCTGTTTTGCTGAATATGAAGTAGACATAGGTATTTCTCGTTCACCTAAATACATCTTTCATAATGATTTCTGCAGTTTTCTTCAGAACAGAATGTTTAGTGGTTTCTACTCTTGTACCTCAGCTGATTTTGTATTGCTCTAGTTAAACAGATCGTTCTAATGGATATTCTCGGATTACCTGCCTACAAGGTTTTATTTAAAATATCTGCATATATCTCTGCAGTTTATCATACTGGTATCCTTTGTCAGTCCTCTGGAGAAAACAAATGTTATTCATTCAGCATTAGTTACGTAGTGCATGTCCTGTTATTGTGCATAGTAATTTTACGATGAGTCAAGTAACATTATGGAAAACTGAAGAAGCATTTCTCTTTTAGATAATCTATCTCAAGTAACAAGAAAAAATTATTTTCTTATTTAATTTTTTTAAAAATGGGGGTTCTTTTCTAGAATGATTCTTATTCTAAAAAGATGTTCTACCTTTATCTGAAGCAGTGTAAATGTTGCACTGCTCTGTTAGGGCTCAGTGGGCAACAGAATTCATTCCTTGATGATAATATCTTTAATTTTAATATGTATTTGACTCATTTACCCATTGCTACCAAAACAATTGTGAAAAGTTGGCATAAAAGATCATAAAATTAAATATAGGAACAAAATATCTATAATGAATGCAGATGGTAAATATTCTAGGTTTGCTCAAAAAAATTTCAGGGCTTATTCTGAAAATAAAAGAACATTTTTATTCTTCTCCTAATGTCAAGAATGGGTATGTTCCACACTTAATTCTCCTATTGGACACTTTTTAGTGAGATGGCTGGCAATGTTTATTTAGAGTGAATCAATCATCAATAGTGTAAATGCAAACTCCTTATGAGTCTTCAGTCTCAGATTAGGTTAGTAATAACATTTTAACTAGTGTATTTCTTATTGTTCTAAAGATAAAAATTACTTGATTATCAAATTATAATTGTCAAAACTAAATTTGTACACTTGATTCTGCACCTAGTTTAGGAGTATAGAGTAAGTTAATCTAATTTCAGATGCTCTTCCTGATCAATTTTCCATCTTTCTCTAAGGAAAAATATTTTGCTAAAGCCCAGCGACTTTGTGGAAGGTGATAAATTGACCTAAATAGCTTTTACTTAAATACTTCAGTATAAATCACAGCTTCTGCTCAGAAAGTAGGGAAAGTATGTGATGTTGTAGAATTTAGAAAATAATTCAGCATATATTCTCCTTTCATATTTTCTGAAAAAGAGGAATAAGCCATGAAGTTACTACAAAAATGTCCCTTTATTCATATGATTTTCATCATTATCCTACAGTAGATTTTCTTTTCTTTTTTTCCTCCCACACATAATTTGGAAGGAAGTGTCTCACATGTCTCCAAATCTTAATGTGTTTTTTTTTTTCTTCAACTGACTGAGATATTAATCTATTTTTTCATTCATTTTTATAGATTAAAAAAATCAACAGGAATTTCCCCGTAAACCAGCAGGTAAGAAAAATAAAATTTGGGTATTTTCAGTCATAATTCTAATTTCATCTGTACTTAATTCTGTTGTAGCTGTGCATTGTCTTAGGTTAAAAAGTTGTTGGTAAGTTTTCTTTATAGAGCACCTTGCTGCTTTTTTTTGTTTGTTTGTTTGTTTTCCTGACGTCAGTGTGATCAGTTTGGTATGTTCACATTAAATAAGATCATGCTTAATCTTTTCAAATTAAATGAATTTTAATGCATATATTCAAACTTAGTTTCTTCAGATTGCATGCCATCCATTTTCTTATAAAAGCAGGAAGGGAATTGCTATGCTTAACAGAATTATCCATTATTAATCAATGTTTGTCTAATATTTTTTAAATGTGAAAAGTCTCTTGTCTAAATGAAAGCATAAAAATGGATATAAATGGTTATGGGGCAGATCAGTAGGAAAATTTGGAACAAACTGCATTATCTGATTGTCTCCAAGTTCACCCTTTGACAGTATCATGATAGTGGAAGGCATGGCAATGCCTTGAAATGCCAGTAGAATTCCTTGAACAGAGGTGTTTTCTTGCTAGCAGAATGACTGCTCTTCTCTAAAGCTGAACATCGGGTATTTGGATCCTTGAGTCAAAGGGAAATGTTTAGATGGCTTGAAACTGAGAGACTGGATTTCTGTTCTGATCTTGTAGTTGCTAGAGATCAAAGGAGAATGGAGAATAATCACATCTCTGCATTAGGATCAACACATATTTAAGAAAATCATAAAAACAAAGCATGAACAAAAAAATTCAGAGTAAAGATGAGTACACTGTAAAGTGATCAGAGTGCCGTTTGGAGCATAATCCCATACCACAGTAATGCCTTTAGGCTATGATATAGCATATGAGCAGTTGAAAATGTGCCTGTTTGGTAGTGGGCTACTTATCTCAGAGTACAAGTCTAGTAAATAAGATGAAATAATTAAGTTTGCTTTTTTGTTGTGTGTCATAAATCATAATGGGGATTTCTTTTTAAGTAATGAAGTAGTGGGAAACAGAAAAATTAGGTTCATCAGGAGGAATAAATTGCCTTCATGTTGACCAAGAGAATTATGTACAGCACTGAGCTGCAGACTTGACTTCATGAAGATATATTTGAAGAATGAAAGTACTTTCACCTCACATTTCAGTCAAGATTATTTCTGAGTTACATGTCTCTGGTCCAACTTCATTAGTATGGAATTTTACTAAGTGTAATTCACATAGCAGGAATGGGCATTATTAGTTTCTTTGTTTCTTTCTTCTTCAGAAGGTCTGCAAATCAAAATAATAACAAGTATTTATACGCCTTGTATAAATAAAGTTAGAACAGATGAAACATAGTAAACAAACACATTTTTATTTGCACGTGTTTTTTAATTCTTTACAGTACAATTTTATATTACAATATTTAGATAATATAGATATGTTTGTTTCACTGTTGCTTCCTGTTGTTACCAAGAAGTCGTTTGCTACATTTAGCAATCAAAGTTAATTTTATTTAAGCATTTTGAGAACAATTTCTGTAATATCATCTGCTGGCAGTGACTAAGAAGTGCTCCTGTCTCAAAGGAGGGACAAAATACCTATTTAAGAAAACAACAACAACAAACACTTAACATTTCACTGTTACGATTTACTCTGAATTTGTGTCCATGTTTTTATTAACTTCAAAAAAGTAAGGACAGTAAAATTATAAACAACAGTTATAATGTCCCACCAGACTATTATTCATTCAGAGTTATTTGCTGGTTTTGAACTCCTGACATATAGAGCATTTTGTTTCTCTTCATTGGAATTCCAGTGTAAAGCAAAACTAACTTGCTTGGCTTGAGTAGCTTGCTATCCGCTGGATTGGCCTACAATTAATGTGTTCCCTTATCAGCATCAATCACTATCTTTGAAAAGAATTACTGTGAACCATTTCAAGGAAGTCAGCCAAAATGTCAAACTGAAAAGTAGGAGGCGGATCAGGAGATAAGGTCTCACTGTCCATCAAATACTGGAAAACATTTGTTGATCCACAGATATCTTGAAACTTTAGGGAATATTTATTTTAAAACAGACTCCTGTTTGGGTTTATTTTATGTAGTTTCCTTTTGTTTTTAAATTGTAAATAGAGGTAGGAAATAATACCCTATTTAACTTAAATTAGGAGAACTTACTGAGAAGAGTCACAAAAGAGTACGTAGACATACCATTAATTTCTGTCTTCTGATATGCAGCAGACATAAACAATGTGCAGGGAAGCAACAGGCCTTTTTCTTTGATAAATCATTATATGTTTACTAGAATATTAATTATCATCATGAATATCTTTATCATTGTGGCATTTATTTTAATAAAAAACAATTTTGTCTATGATTTTGAATAGCAATTTTTAACTTCTTTTAGGCAAGCACATAATGAACTTGAACTCTGAAACTGATCTGATTTGGATTTTATTTCATATTATTTCTTACAACATATTTTATTGAAATTAGTCCAAACTACAAGCACATTATCTTTCTTACTGTCCATCCTATGTATCTTCTTAGTAGGAAAGCAGTACCAGGACAAACTGCTGGATAAGATAGACATGGGAAAACCAGGGAACTGATTTTCCATTTACTGTGTTATAGCTATGTTCACAAATGCAATAAATTGCCTCTTGCTTCTGTACTACAAAGACAAAAGCCACGCCTGAAGGCTTAAATACAATCAAAGAATCTACACAAAATGATCTTATTCTGTAATAAGTACATGACCTTAGGAAATACCTACAATTAGTATAAATTGAACTGCTGTGTTCTTTTAGTTCTCAGATCTTTCTCATTACACCAACAAAAGTTTCAACATGTTCTCTCTTTCAAGATCTGAGCATTAACTCAACAAAGTATCCAAGTATCTTGGTTTAAATAGGCTATTTTCCATGGTTGCTGGAAATTCTATCTGCAGTCTCAGCGTAATGCTTAACTGTCATCATTAACTACCAAAAAATTACCAGCTTCAGAGGGAAATAAAATAATTTTGTTTTAATAAAATGATCTTTATAACATTGTTTTTAAAATTAATCTACTTTTGCTCTGTTAAACAAAGAAAGCAAAAATATTGTAGCACTTAAAGTGTCATACAAATAAGGCAGATATGCATATCTTCATATAACCCTTAGTTTTATTTTCTCAAGGTTACCAAACACTGTAGGCATCACTTTCAAAAGCAAAGAGCAAAAAGTAGTTTAACCCCATCTAAAAAGTATGTTTTATTTTCTAAGGAAGGATAAGTATCCTAATACTAGAAGTGCATTGGTATTGGATATATGATGTGTGTGATGTATTGGATTGGATGTGTATGATGATTTTTCCACATATATAACATACCAAAGGAGGGAGAATTCCTGCTCGTCTCTCACAGAGATTTTAAAAGATTTGCAGAATCATAGAATGGCCTGGGTTGAAAACGACCACAATGATCATCTAGTTTCAACCCCCCTGCTATATGCAGGGTCGCCAACCACTAGACCAGGCTTCCCAGAGCCAGAAAGAAGAGATTTCCCCTGAGAACAGCCAGCACTGTTGTTGGCTTAGGATTCCAGCTAATTGAAAAATCAGTGGCCATTTGGCTGGCCAGTTCAGATGGTTGCCTTTAAGACTGATAGCCGTTCAGAACTGCTTGATATCAGAAAAGGGAATGGTAGATGGGATAGTGTGACTTTGGCTTTACATTCAAATATTTTATTTTCAATCTCTTTTTTAAAGCTTAGTTCGACTTACATGCTGTGTCTTCACCGGTGGTATTCATAAGGCTTCATACTTGGAAGAATAGTTGAGTATTTGTTTCTAGGAGGCAATATTCATGTTAAATTAACAGGAATGGCTTTCAGATTTGGAACACTGAGTTCCTTGTGGACTGCAAAGACGAATTATTTCACATAGGGTGCTACCCCTAGATGTCTTGTATGCTCTGGGAGCCTCACAACACTAGCTGAGAACAGAAAGGTATCTCAGTGAACTGATGAAACTGAACTTAGAAACAAACATTAAAAGAACAGTTTTAGACAAACAATTAAAAAGAAATTTATATTTCTTTTACTAATGCAGCCCTTAGTGTACTCCAATTCAGACTACTGCCGCTGTTTTTCTTAGCCATGAAGATCGTTCTGCTCATTCTCACATGTCCCTCTTGGTTCTGTAATGTTAGTTCTTTTTTACTGCTTCAACAGGGACTTCAGCCCAATACATCTAAATTTTCCCTTACAAGGAGAGCATCCCAGTGTTTCTGTAAGAAAGAAGGCAGTGCTTCCTCTCACCAATGCAGCCCTGATGGAACGCTTTTTACATGGAACAGTGATTGGAATGTCTGGGCACAGCAGTGTATTTAAAACTCTCTTTACCCATGCTGTATCTCTATTACAATGAATTAAAAATTATTTCCCTCCATCTTTCATCAAGTACAACTTAAAAAAAAAAAAAAAAAAAGTATAATAGAGAAGAAAGTCCTTTAGTTGTACACTATTTCTCTTCTATCTACAGGTAGCATGAGTATTTTTGAAACATTTTTCTTGTCTGCACAGAAGATATTCTCATTGAGTAGTTTTGACTATCATTTTTAAGAGGAATCTTTCCCTCTAGAGTTTTCCTAAAATTAGATAAGAATTGGTAGCTGTCCTGGGCAAAGTTAACAGCTTATAATGAGATTCATGCAGCTCTAATATTTCATGATATTACTTTGGAACTTATAACAGCCTATTTCTTACTTAGATTCCTATGTCTCTCTTTTTTGAGTACTGTTTCCAGTTCCACAACTGTGTTTCATTCAGTCTTAAAATAACATAGTGGCATGAGTAACTGATCTCCTATTAACAGACAGAACTGGAGTATAACTGTGCATATCACATTCTGCAGTATTCAGTTTTCATGAGCTGTATTGCATTGCAGGCATATCGTGGAATCATAGAATGGCCTGGGTTGAAAAGGACCACAGTGATCATCTAGTCTCAACCTCCCTTCTATGTCCATG